CCCCAAAACCCCAAAACCCCATCGTTATGGATCATTAAAATGGTTTAATCGAGTAATAAAATGTATATGAAATCTTAATTAGTCTATTATTCATTAACTGGATTCTGTAGTGCAATATTCTAGTTATTTTGATAAGTCGATCTTCATACACTTAACTTTGAAGTCGCGTTTGCTATTAGATCTAGCTAATGCAAGTTATTGCTAAGCATCAAGCTTATTCTTCTTTCTCACACTTGTCTTTGCTGAGTTAACCTAGTTTTAGAAGGAAGCATAGATATGTTTCATATTATTGTTTTTAGATGCACCATGATTTCCATCAAACATTGAAGATGAATATCCATGATGATAATTATTTTGGGTACTAGAGGCTGTCGTTGAGGTTACTTAAGAACTTAGCAGAGATCTAGGATTCATATTTTTATGCTGGTTGCGAGCATCAGAGTATGGGCAGTTCACCCTAGTTGTGCTATTGCTGTTTTTATTATCAATCGAGTTGTGTGAATTCTCTCTTTATTAGATTTATTTAGTCGGCTCTCTATGACTGTAGAGCATTTGCTGATAATTTTAACTCTATTTCATTTATTAATTATAGGGATTAACTTAGCGGTCGGTGCATAGACCATTATTTATTGTACTATGAATTTGAGAATACTAAGATCGACTGTCAATAAGTTAAGAATTTTTTGAAAACTTTAAGGATTTGACATGCTTGTTTAGATTGTCATCTACGACTGTAGTCCTTGTATTAGAGTTATTATTTGCTTAAGTCTTGGTAGTCTCATTTGCTTTACTGCGGGCTTCTTTCCTCTTCTAATTTTAATGCTGCATATTTGGTATCTTCTATTGCTTGCTGGCATTAATAAATGAAGTTTTAGTGTTGTCAATGGTCTGCAAATTATAAGACATTAGACCATTGTTATTCGTGCTCATTTGTAAAATCTCACTCTATCTGTATTGCTAATTATTATCTTGATTAACAGCTATTGATTTTAATTTGGAGGTTGTCGCTGTCTAGCAAGTGTCAAAGTCTGAAGTTGTCTTGGCTCTAACGTGCATTCCAGATCCAGTTGTTAGTTTATTATTCCTGGTCTACACTTTCAAATTGTTATCCTAAGCGAAAGTCTTTAGATTAACTTACATTTAGAATGGATTTGGGGCAATTTGAGATGATATTATTTGAGGCTGTGAGATCTTACCACTAATTGATTTGTTCGATTGGTGAGATTTACCTGGCTAGTTATTTGAAGCTGTTGAACTGATTAGACTTTAAGTATTTGGCTAACTTAAAGTAACAAAGGGATTTTACTGCTCATTATTTTAATTGAAGACAATGTTCGAGTGATTACTTTACGTTGGCTATCTAATTGCTTTGTCATTAGATTTTACTTGGTTTGTTCCAGGCTTATTATAAAATGTTTTAAAGTAATCTTAGGCTTTACTACTTGCCTTTGGCCCGCTGATTTTTTAATCCACCATTAGTGATATTCCTTCTTTAGACTTTCTAGGCTTTTAGGTGCCATCATTGGTGTTTTTACGAGAATGAGAACTTACTTATTTATGATTCAGTCCATTTGTTAGATATCCAGTTAAGATATTGTTTTTGTTATTCACAACTTTGTTCGAATAATCGAATGTTTTCAGATGACTTGAAGTTAATCCACTTGTCTGGTAAGACTCAACAAGACCGTTGAAATTTTCATTGAAATTGCCTGAAACGAAATAATCATTCTCAGCACCTTCAGTGAAGTGAGGTCTGCTGCTATCATAATGATGTTCACTAGTGTCGAAGTCTCTATCCTCGCTTTCTTCTCTGTGAATTTTAGTAAGGGATTAATCAGTCATTGTAGAAAGATGCTTTCCGTTATTATTGCTATGATTAGTATGTTTATGGCTTTATATGTACTTTTGCTTGTTCTAATGTTCATGCATAGCTTGCTTAGCATTAGCAAGAACTTTTTAAGATACCATTTATGAACTCTATTGCATTCTTGATGATTGTGATCTTTGATGCTGAATCTGATTCAATTACTTTTAATTTTATTGACCCATAAATGTTGGTTATTAGGATTAAGATGGAGTAAGCTCGGCAGACTGTAGCCCAGAGGATAAAAACTGCTACAGAATTCTTTTATAGTCATTTATTGTATAGTTTGCACCTTGAAGTTTTTCAGATGTTTCTTAAGCTTTATATCCATAGGGAGATTGTGGTGAGCTCAACTAATTTAAGTCCATTCTAAAATCAGAGATATCACTATCAATATTCTCTTTATTTGAACCTATGCTGAGCATTTTGTTTTGTTTGTGTTTTCGAGTTCTCTCATTTTAGTTTTCTTCTACAGTTCTCTCTTACTAAATTTCAGCCATTGTCGAGAAAAATAAAGGAGTTTGAGTCTATACCCTAGGGAATGCAAAATCCTTAAGCTATGACTTGCCAAATCTCTTCTCGATTTCAACTTAGTAGGCTTTAAGTTCTCTTTCCATTCTGTCGTTGATATATCTATCCTCTGATCTATATCTTAGTTTTTTGGCAATCTCAATAGAGGTAAATGCAGGGATTGGCTCATGAGGATTTTTCCTCTTTCCTTCTTCTGCGTCAGTTTCATCCTCTTCTGTTTAATTAGAAGTCTTCATTTGTTGTATTTGCTATCTATTGAAGAAACTAGAAGCCAACAATAATTTAGGATCCTCACTCATTTCTCTCTGTTTATTTTAGTTAAGCATATTGCTCATAGACATTTATGGTCTAGAACTTTACTTCTAATTTTATACATTATTTTTAGATTGGATTAGCTTGCTGTTTTGTTGAAGGGCATTTTTTGGGAAGTTACCCTTTATGAAATGCTTTAAGTTATCGATGGCTTTTTAGATATTATCATTTTTATTGTGCACATTATTCATAGATTACTCCTAGAGAACGTTGTTATTCATACTCATTAACTGGTTTTAATTATTCAATTAAACCTATGGTGATTAAGTTTGCAACTTTTTCATCATGTTCTGATTTCTATTTACATGGGAGTTTTGATGAGTGACTCTGGCTGAATTCACTCCTGCTTAATGCAAGTCAGTCGTGCTAAAGTTTTTACTGTCTTTGACTTAGTTATTATACTGTTGATGCTTTTAATGATTTTGGTGGTAACTTTGATTTGCACTAAACTGATTCTAAGACGAAGCCATTGTATTATTGCTTGAAGTCTAATAAGAAAACACTTATTATTGAGAAGGCTGTTGAGAATACTATAGATTAGACTTTGAGCTGTCTCTAGAGACATAGCCACAATTACTCTTGGCATATCTGAGATTTTAACTCTACTCACGAGCTGTACTTTGACTTTAAATGTTCAAGATATTGTCATAATTCTGCATTTAGAGCTAATTTTATTAATGAAGAACTGACTGAGTAATATGCTGTGATTCATTAGTATTATTGGGGGGTCTCTAAGTTAGGAACTGAGTCATAAATGCATTTTAGTTACCACTTGCTGTTCTTGAATGACTATTGCCTTAATTATGGTGTCGAATTGAAGCTATATTTGCCAATGCTTGCAAAGGTTGTTAAGAAGACATTTACCTTTTAGTTTACTTTTAAATTTGAAAGTTTAACTGAATTATAATATAATATTAAGATGGAATTAAATTTTAGTAATAATAACGCAAATTCAAGTAGTAGAATAGCCCTCAAAGAGAGACTTCTAGAAAAACTCAAGCAAAAGTCATCAAAGAGCACTTACACCGAGATTTTTATGAGCTCTAAGAACCCGAAGAAACTCCTTATTTAACTAAAAAATTAGTATGAGGAAGATTTGGGTAATTTCGTTTCTCACGGAGGTAAATTTCTAAATTTAATTTCGCAAAAATTTAAGCAACAAATATAGGAAAGCAAGATTTTAGGCAGAAATTTTTCAGAGACATCGTAATGCAACATTTAGGGTCCAAACAGTATAAAAGGAGGAAGAATGCTTTCTACGTTATGAACTATCTCGTCTAGACTGATCCCTACTTCGCAGAAGCTGCTCTTAAGGAGTTTAGTAGGATAAAAAATGTGCTCTATACTATAGAGGATGTAAATTTATATTTCTCAAAAATATAATTAATAGTTACCAAATTTAAACACTTTGGAGGATACAACTGATTACTTAAAGTTTAAGATATTCGTGAATTCCAAGATTCTGGAGTGGATTGACAAGTATAGTGCTAAGTTCCCTGATTTATTCATTTGGAAAAGAAGCCAGAAGCACTTTTTCAACCCTTACAATGAGAAAGCTGAAAGCGAGAAGTTTGAAGATAAATTTTAAACTCTTAAAGTCTATCGACTATTCTTTTAAAGAGACTAGAAAGAAATAGTCCAAGTAAGGGAACTCTTCTAAAAGTCAAAATTTGAGGCTGTAAGTAATAATCTCTTATTAGACAAGTATTATAGTTTGAAGCGAGAAAGTTGATGGATAGTTCAAGAAACAAAGAAGTTGAAGAAGTTAAAATTTAAACTAGAATAACTGAAAGTCAAAATGGGTTTGAGTTTTAAATGGATGCTTTTGTAGTAGAAGATTTGAACTTAAATAATTAGGAGGGGGAGCAAGTACTATTTTATGAGGAAGATGCTAGTACGAATATAGATAACTAGCAAGACTAAAATAATTAATAATCACTGACAAATAAAAGTGATTAGCAAGATATTGGCAGTTATTTGAATAGCCTTAATAGGTATGAAGCCACTACTAAAAATAAAACACTTTATGAAGTGATCTAGGATAACTTAAAGGTTATTGAAAGGAGGGTAATACCTCTGTTAGAGACTTTTAAGACAGAGACAGCATATTTCAAAGAACTGCAAAATGTTTGTCTGACTGCTGTTTCTGATAAGAAAAAATTAGATAATAATTACAAGGGTAGAATACTGATAAGCAAGAAACAAGTTTAAGACTTTGAAAAAGACTATAAAGTGGTGTTTGTTGAGGAAATTGAGTAGCTATAAAGAGAAGTTGAGATTCTCTATAGGTCTTCTCTCGAACTAAAAAGTGATTTAGAGAGGATACAGCTAATAAAGTTGTAGCAGAATAATTCAAGTTAGCCTAATTTGTAAAATCAAAATGACGTTGTAATATTAGATGAAGACGAGGAAGAGGACCCTGACGATAAATTGTTTATTTGAATTTTCTTAATTTCTTATCAATAACATTTTATTCAGTCCTCAACTATATTTTTTCATGGGGTTTTGGGGTTTTGGGGTTTTGGG